AGAAGCACTCCCTATTTCAGTTGATGCAAGAATAATTGCATTATGCTGTTGAGCATACTGGAAAAACTTGTTCAGTAATTATTTCCATAACAAATCAACAGAATACTGTCTCAATAAAATTTTTGTATTTCATGAAATAACAATATAAATACACTTATGTGGTTATCAGCAGATATGGTAGGCAAACACTGTGACGTACAACGCTAGAGGCTAACACAGTCCCAAATGCATTTCCTTAAGATGACTTCAAGAATAAAAAATGTGAAAAGCTATAAATATTTAGATTCATTGCAAATTTCACAGAGCCAATCATCTTAGAATCATTCCCTATTTCAGTTGATGCAAGAATAATTGCATCATGCTGTTGAGCATTCTGGAAAAACTTGTTCAGTGATTATTTCCATAATAAATCAACAGTATACTGTCTCAATAAAACTTTTGTATATCATGAAATAACAATATAAATACACCTATGTGGTTATCAGCAGATATGGTAGGCAAACACTGTGACTTCAACGTCCTCCTGCACTCATCTCTGTGCTGAAACTACACAACTTAATAAATTTAATTTTCTTATTGCAGCAATATTTTATGTGGCTAGCGCTTTCTGCCCATACCCCAAAAACCCTCTACCATGTCTTCTAGAAAGCAGTGTATAAAAAAAAAAATCTCACAGGGTACCTTGTGCATATGCCTAAGCCAACTTGAAAGCAAGATTCGTTTTGCTTTTAATGGGATAGCAATTATATGGACATTGTTTGCCGTTGCCAGGCGTGTAGCCAAAAATTTTCAATAATAGGGGGGGGGGGGGGGTAGCACTTTGATCTGAAGGTCTGAAAGAGGGGGAGAGCACACAAATGGCCGCCATTTTGCCCTATATATGCCATGGCGACAAAAAAAAAATTCGGAGATGGCAAAAGGCACGTTTTCGATGCCCCCCCCCCCCCCCCCCGGCGGCTACGCCACTGACCGTCATGTTTTGTGTCATGTCCCAATGGATAACATGCCCCGGCACATCACATTTTACATGCGGGTAAAAGTGCGCAAGCGGGGGCGACAAACATGGCTAAAGCACAGATAAGAAGAGCCAACCTATCTCCTTTGCACTAAGGGCGGATGCAATTATATCACCCTGCATGCCAGGCCTCCCATCTATTGTTACTCAAGCGGAGAGGAACCCGCCGCCCGTGTCCATGGAACAGGAAGGAGCTAGAAACAAGAAAGGGAGGGGAGTTTTTATGAACTTTGACTTTAAGGCTGTAATCGCTAGTGCCCGCCTAGTACTCTCAACACGAACAAACTGTGCGAAAAGTGCTTCGCTTTCTAGAGCGTCAATGAGCCTTGATTGCAAGGTGGCTACACCATCGTCGCGCCATTTCGGAGGTCGATTCATACGTGCCGTTTGTGCTGTACAGATAGAATCACACTGGTCTAGATGCCTGTCAACACCGTTGTTGAACGCGGCTTCTATCTCATATTAGCTACAAGCTACTGTTGATGCTTACATTACAGCACAAAGGTTTAACAAGCAGTACGAACATGTTTAGTAGCATTACGGCGTCTATTTTTGCATATTTCTGAAGAAAACGCCAGCTGGAGTGGCTGGCTGGGTGCTCTAAACAAGTCTCATTCTATCTGTTCGTGCAAGAGATATTTCGAAGGTATTTCGAAGCCATATCGAACACCGCGCATGCAGCAAGTTGCTGCGAGTGCGCGGACCTTGGGAATGGCAACCCCGCTGCTAGGGCTTCTCACGGTTGACGTCAAGTCTCATTTGGTATAACAATACAATTTGTTGGTATGCCATTCACTCGTAAAAGCGCAAGTGAAACTAACACATTGTATCTTTTAGATCCGATATTGCGTAACTCAAAAGAACGCTGGCTAAAGGGACAATGATCACTCTAGTTGCCGAAGCTTTCGTGCTGTCAGTTACCTAAACCCGAAGCTGATGTTCGTAGCACCAAAAGTTCAAGAACAGTCTCATTATTCCTCGAGATAGCACGCGCCAGCTACATCAAGCGCCTCAGCAGCACCCCCCTCCACCCCTCCCTTCAAAACGAAGCAATAAATGTGATGTGATGATCAATTTTTTTTAACCGTCATTTATTGACCCTGGAAAGCGAGGGGCGGACTTGTAACAAGGCGTGGTCGCTTCACAGGCCTTCCGACACCAGAGCCACCAGCGATGGCCTCACTATGGCTGCACGTATTAAAAGCGAATTGCGGCTGCTCGGACCAGGAGGCATGCTTTTCTAAATGAGATCATATTTAAAAAGAAAGCACTCAAAGAGTTTTCAATTTGGATCCCAGCAACCTCGAGTTCTAAAGGGCAGGGTCTTTTACCGCTAGAGCGATTATAAACACGGATGTATGTGCTGGTGGACGGAATAACGAAACAGCTCTTCTGTATGATGATCCATGGATGGAGTATATTAGAGGAAAAGTGTCAACGCGTTCCCAACATTTACGTGTTCTTTTGCGGACGTAAGGCATGGAAAATTAGATTGCAATGTCCAGACATAGACGTGACAGACATTCTGGTGGCACGCGTGCAGTTATTGGTGAAAAGGCTTTATTACATGCCGTGCAACTATTCAAACAAGCTATCAGCTGCATTCCTAGAACGGACGACGTCCGCCGATAAATCGCAACCAGTGTTACGCTACCAATTGGACTAGACGCCAGGAGCCCCTGCGGAGAGCATGTTTCGCCGTTAAGAAGATTTGCGCAACAGAGTTGCATCGGCACCAAACATAGCATCGTGGATTTTAGGAGCCACGCGCGACCGCTATTTATTCAGCGTAACAAAATAGGTACGCGATTGTGACTCTGGTGGCCCCAAGAACAAAGTGGACGTGTATTATTGCTGGTGATAGACCATCCCAAACCCGACTTTGGTGCAGTTTGGCACAATTTCTGTTGATATAATTAGGATGGCGCATTAAATCTGATTTGGCGCAGTTGGCGCAAGAGTGAGATCACTGCATTTTGCAAAGAGCCCTCTATAGGCAGCGCGGCCTCACATATGTGACGTTAACTAAAAGTGTGGCACTGCCAACGAAGTATTTTCTTTTTTGGTTTGCAGGAGGGAGGCACATCAGCGCATTCTCCCGCAGCGGCAAGGAAGGCGGCAATGCCAGCTTGTAGGGCGCAGGCTCACCTGACTGCCTCGCGCTCACCCACATGCAGCTCATGCACGCTTCTGCTGCTTCGTGCTTTATGGCAGGCTGAAAATGACGGTAAACACCTTATATGAATGCGGTTTTGCTTATATTAGGTGTGATAATGCCAGCGCTGCAAGAGCTACCAATACAGCTGAACTAAAGTAGGAAGAAATACTGTCCTCAAAAACTGCTATATATAGATAGACATGTGGGGTTTAACGTCCCAAAACCACCATATGATTATGAGAGACGCCGTAGTGGAGGGCTCCGGAAATTTCGACCACCTGCGGTTCTTTAACGTGCACCCAAATCTGAGCACACGGGCCTACAACATTTCCGCCTCCATAGAAAATGCAGCCGCCGCAGCCGGGATTCGAACCCGCGACCTGCGGGTCAGCGGCCGAGTACCTTAGCCACTAGACCACCGCGGCGGGGCAATGCTGTATATACTATTCACACTTCACCAAATTGTGAAACTACCGGATGACTTGCCTACCATGACTGTTGATTGGATTTTTGAGAGTACAAAAAGCAAACTACTATAGTCGAACCCGCTTATAATGAACTCGAAAGTGCTGCGATAAATGGTAGTTATATCAGTAGTACGTTTTACATGGACCCAACCATAAAAACGTCCCCTCAGTGGCCAAAAGTGCGAACAGCCCCTCCGCTGACAAGTCAAGATTTTTCACATGTATAGCGATGCCCATTCGCTCACAAGAGAATTCAACCACGTTAGCAATAAACTCATGCCGTTGCACTGTGGTTCCATTGAATCACGATATCACCACGTTGAACCATTCATCCCTGGCTAGTGTGTGCAGCACGTCGCTTTCTATGCTCTTGCTGTCGCATGCCAGTTCGTTTGGAGACCAATGTATGCGCGCGTTCATGCTTTCTTCACGCATGTTTCACTCAAGATCATTCTTGGGTGCGGAGAGTAGCCTGTTTCTTAACACAAAGAATTTTGCGAACAACATGATCAAGCAGCCTCGCACAACGCGGTGGCGAACTTGCGAACAGCAGCATGACGCGCTTGTACCGCAGTCCACTGCGCAGCTTTCTGCATATGACTGAGACAAGGTTGCCGACGATGCAGCAATGGTACGTTCATCGCCACCGGCCACCTCGGTATCTGTGCGGTTCTCGCCGCGGTCTACGATATCTTCCATCGCATGTAAACTGCAGCAGGGCACACGTGAGCGCCCACCTATATGTTTTAGAATGCCTTTTTTAACACTTTTCTTTTCACTTCATAAGCCACATATTACCACGACCATGTAGGAAGTGTTCGTTGTAAAAGTAGAAGGTTTTGAAAAATGTTCGCTTTATGTGGACTCAGTTTCAAATGGTAGCATAAAAAAAATCTTAAGTGCACCGAGATACGGTCATTATAACCGATGGATCGCTATATCTGGGATCGTTATAGGTGGGTTGGACTGTAGTAATTTAAGTGCTCACAGAGTTTTGCACCTTCAAAAATTGAACTTATGTATACATTAGGTATATTATGGCTTTTTCTTTCGTGATTTAATTTGTTTATGCTTGACTTTGAACATTTTAACAAATTGTGCATTACTAATTAAAATATTTTAAAAGTATGTTCTCTGTAGTATAACTTCTTGGCATGGGGCCATTATATAACTACTTTCTGTATGCAGACAACCAAATGTCACAAGAAGATTTTGCCCATGGTCAGGCAAGCTGCAATACTGGGCAAGTGGGTGAGTTTTACTTAGAATGCCATAATGCTTGCATGGACAAGGTAATTTTTGGACCACAAATACAAAGCTAAAGTAACTTTCAAGTAGCAATGTTAGAGGAGATGCGAACCTGCATAAAGAAGCCGGACACAAGGGTCTTGCGAATATTGATGTAGTAGTCTTTGCTAGTGAATTCCGTAGACGTTCGACGAAGGTTGAAGCGGTCCATAATTCTTGACAGCTGCTGCCGCACATTGTCCGCACTCTTCATGGAACGGTAGTTGATGAAGTTGTCGTAGCACCACTGAGTGTCTTCATGGTCTATATCAAGTGAAAGAAGAGAACCAAAATGAACAAATATACAAAAAAGACAAAGAAATAGGAGGAAAGAGAAAACACAACACAAAACTACAAATCAGTCATGACAAAGAAGGTCTATTCATTGCTGCAGTACTGTGTGAAACACTCCAATCAAAGCCCCTTTTAGAAGCTCTACAAAATTTACATATGAGAACTAATTGATAAATTAAAAAATATGAAGTGCAAAAAACTGGCACGAGAAGGAAAGACCATATCGGCAGCTTTCATTGATTTTTATGTCCCAAAGTAATCAAGCATTTTTACTAAAGCCAAGTGGATAGCCAACTTTTGGGTGTGAAGCGAATTCAAATACTTAAGTGTGAGTACGGATCGAATCGAACATTTTTTTAACACTTCGAAGCAAAATTAGAACAAGAAATGTTGGACAGATAGCTATGCATGTTCTTACGAAATGGCAACACGAAAGTGCTTCCTTTGGCTTCTTTTAGGCTGATGAAGGACGGAAGAGGTGGTGTTTCATAGTTGTCACATCAAGAATGAGACAATGCAGAGGCTGAATTGTATTTACATACATGATTTGGTGCATACAAAGTGTTGCCAACATGTGAAAGGCAAAAAGTGCAATTCTCTCAGCTTCTCCACCTCTTTGAACTTCTACACAAGCCCAACTGACGTGGCCGACAATGATGTGCTAAATCTGTTTTATATATGTCAATACTATATAATAACATCTGAACTACTGGATGCTAAAAATCTTTGGCACTCTATTTTTTAGACTTCCTGCCCATACTTCATGCCCAAAGCGGCATTAATTAAGCCCCCACTTTTGCCACATCTATTATTTCCATGCAGAAACCAGTGGTTTCTTTAATGACAATTGTGACTTCAACGTGTGAAAGGCAGCTTTGCCACAATACAACGGGGTGATGGGGTGAAGCATATTGAAAATCTAAAGAGGCCACTTCAATTCGGATGCTGACTGTATTTGTCTTCGGGAAGTTGGATCACTTTGAATAGATATATTTTAGTGCGAATTGAATCAGAAAACAAACACTATTCGAAAAATATTCAAAATTTCGAATATTCGCTTACCCCTAATTTTTACTGCACCTCAATCTAAGGGTTTTGGCACACATGCATACATCTCAAAACAGCACTGCTGACTGTAGTATTACATCTCTTAAAGCGAATGAAGCTCAGCCAGTTGGTGTTGCATTATTTAATGTCAACATGGTCTTTATTGCAAACAGGCAATATGTAGAAAAGCCACACATAATACTCGACATGCGCATAACACAATGCCACATCAACCTGAGTGAAGAAAAAAAAAACAAGAAAAACAGACAAGGCGTTAAAAGATGAAACTGGTTGATTCAAACCTTGAACACCATTCTAAAGATGCAATTCCTTTTCTACTAAGGGACAATGATGCTATGCCATGATGCCATTGATTGACCACACCTTGTGCAGATCACTTTCAATTTCGCCCTTGAAGTTCGATGATGAATATTTCAAACAACGTGCAACTTTTGAGATTTCTAAATCAAGATACGCCATAAGTTGGCACACACCACAACTTTGTAAAACCAGCCCTCAAGTCAATAATTAAAATGTAATCAACAAGTTTTTGTTCATTCGTCGTAACCATCATGTTACTTGCGGCAAAGTGCTTCTGCCTTGATGTGGACTTTGTGTGCAAAAACAATGGAGCCTTGTCAGAGGATTTTTACACAAAATCTGTGATGTAAAAAAAAAAAATCCCAGCACCTCCGCGGAGTGAGTGAGCAGTGTAGTTTTGTATTATAAACAATGTTCTTCGGTCTTAAATGATATGTGTGTTGAGTTGTGCATTTCGTTTCCCCTTCGTTATTACTGCTTTTTGGTACATTAAATATAGAGCCAGTGGTTCTTTTATAAAATCTAGCCTGAAGTTGGAAAAGATGAGGTCTATGCACATTCCCCTGGTAGTTGTAGGTTGTTTCCGGTCATTCTAAATGCATCATAGAACGTATAGAGACATCATATACACTGAAACCTGGCTATAACGAAACATCGGCTTTAATGAAGTAAATGAAGAATAGTCTAGCAATATATATATATTGTTTGATTAGCAAACTTAATTTCGTGTAAGATGAAACTTCGTTACAATGAGGTACGAGTGCATACTGTACAAGCCAGTCATCCGCTTCCAGAGCTTTTGATCGTTTTTATTCATGGCAGAAAGAAAATGTTCCATGGCCGTCATCGGGTATTTTGCATGTGCTAACGCGCTTCTTTTTCATCGTCATCAACGTCATCGTGTATATGGGTACTGTGCATGTGCCAAGGCACTTATTCAGCGTCATCACCAGAAAACGGATAAGTGCCTAGACCCAAAGGTGCTTTGCCTCTACAAAACACCCATAGCATGAAAAAAAAAAATCACCGCCATATCTACAAAGTGAATAATAATAGAGGAGCTTGCTCGGATATAATCGGGTAACCCGCAAATCCTTCGTACACCTTTCCTACCATCGTATATAGACGTACAATACATACACAATGTTTATTAATTTCCATTCCAATAAGGTGCACTACCGTATTTACTCGGATAACTTGCACCCTCGCATTATTTGCGCACCCATAATATTTTGCCAGCTTTGCTAAAAAAATATTTACTCCACATTTCGCGCTCCCCACCTGTCCAAGCCACCTCGCCGCCCACACCCACAAAGAGACTTTCCAATCCTTTGGATAGGCATGCGCTTCGCCGAGCAGACATGCGCAGTCAAACAGGCTGCAATTACTCAGTCCATTATTCGAAGACTTCCCCTGTACTAGGGTTTGATGGAAGTTCTCGTAATACCGTGCACGAGCACTCAAACCTACAGCTGTAGACATGTCGCAAGAACTGCTCGAGCATTTCCCTCCCTCTATCGCCCCATTTGTACCGCCGCGAGAATGCACGCTGGGGGCACGGCATGGACAACTTTCTGCATAGAGGCGTGCGAGTTCTAGGGCCTGTCGCACTGCAACACACGCTTGGTTGATTTCGGAAGTTTAGGTTTCACCATTTGGCCGCTGCGTTATCACGGTTCCCTTGTGATATGCTACAGTAACCATATAAACGAAGAAATTGAAGCTCGCTGTTGTGAATTTTGCTGAAGAAAACTGGAACCATGCCGCCGCAAAGCACTTCAAGGTGACATACTTCACCGTGTGACGATAGGCGCGATCGGTATGCGAAAAAGCATAAGAGTGCGCGCTTTCAAGTTTCCTGCTATTGAAGAAGGCTTTTTCAATTATGTGTGAACCATTAAAAAGCCAGTAAACAACCCCAAGGTCCAAGAATTGTTGTAAAGAGATATATGTGCACCTGTACTTCGTGAACATGCTGCCACAAGAATTTTGCGAATACGTGCTATATTAAGGAAGTTACAGGGGCTGAAATATCGCGCTCAGCTGGTTTCAAATTTTTGCGCGGTCTCACCACTCTTCCCCTTCAGAGGAAGAGGAAGGCATGGCCAGTAGTCGTGACTCCACCCACTTCGGCAATGTGACAAGACGTCGGCTTGCTGTCACGCCCGGTTGTTTTTCGTTCATTCGGTGATGATGCTTCTCTGCAGACCAGTCGCTCGATTTGCAGCCGACAACGATTTGCAGCAAAACTGCGTTTTGAAACCCGGACATGAAGTTGGCCCGATTTTTCTGGAGTTCAATTTTTCGGGAGCACACTGCAACGCCATCTGGGCGCAGCAACACAAAATACAAATGATGCGTTTAATAGTTGGTGTGCTGGTGAATAGGTGGCACGACAATCTGCTCACTTCCAAAATCTGGGTCAGTGAAGTGTCCCGATTTCGATGCATGGAGCCTATGGAAAGTTTTGCAACTCGTATGATTGAATAGCTCTGTCGCAGCTGTGGGTGGGAACAGGAACTGTCGTTGACTTCATAACTAGTTGTTGAGACCTGGTTTAGACCAATCAACAAGCTGCATGCTGTGTCACGTCACCGATCGTCGAGGTGTCGTCACTGTGCATGCAAGGAGCTTGGTCAAGCGTAGGAAAAAAGCGCGGGAATTGTTTTTCGAAATGGAGGATGTGTGCGGCGCACAGCTCTGTAATATTCAGAAAACGTGATCGCTGTGGTCTACTCTATGAATTACGGAGCTTGTTTGGGGGGTGTAAAAAAAAAAAAAAGTCAGAGCCTGTTGACTGGCCTTTTGTATCGCCATGTCGTAGGATCTAGTTTCTCACACCATTGTTGCGAAGAGCTTCAAGGAAAGGGGTCAATCGAACGCATTTGACAGAACTCGGGATGATACACTTTGGGAAGGCGGTGACAGCAGCCGCAACAATGACTCTCAATCGGACTTCGCGATCAAAGATTCCCACTAGACAGCGCGTGACCAGATCTGACTGGTTAAAGCATGTGCCACTTCTAATGAATTAACAAGTACACTTCATTCGTGCTCCAATTTTTTTTTAGACGTATATACTGCATGCGTTAGGACTGTGACATATTTCGTACGCCCTCGCGAAATCCCTCAAAATATGCGCACCCCCTTCTCATGGCCCCAGAATTGCGGAAAAGTGTGCAAATTATGCGAGAAAATACGTTATATACAATCTATACCACTCTATGAGCTCTAGGACTCGTTTTCCTTTAAAGATGATTGGTTAATGATGCATGCACTACAATATACATTATACATACACCAAATTCCATGAGTGGCACTTCTGCCACAAAACCCCACTATTCATCATCATAACATACAAGCACGTTCCTCCACAAGCCTGGGGAGATAATTACTTTTTGATCACTAAAATATGTTGCCAAGGGATCGCAGATGATGGGACGCAATGAAAAGTTTGAGAAGGCAACATCGATACAGGTGCCCCTGATGGTGGTGGGGCGTTTGCAGTCGTACGATACACATCGACAAGCATAATGTGACATCATGTGTTAGACCAGCCAATCGCTTTCCATGATGTCAACGTTTATATCTCCGACAAATAC